CAAGATCACACCACTGCACCCCATCTTCGGTGGCAGAGCAAGACTGTCTCAAAAAAAAAAAAGTAAAATTAAAAAAATCTGTAGTTTTTTCCTGTAACTTTGTATTTTTTTCTTTTGGAAGTTTATAGGTAAGATAATCATTATCTGTCTTGCAGAGTTTCTTGGAATATACATTTTGCTGCCTTTATTCTTGAGTGCAGTTTAACATGATTCTCTCTCCCCTCTCCTGTTTTTCATGCAAATTGGTAGCTAGATATTTTTTTCTTTTTCTGTTTTTTAAAGACATGGCTGTCATGGAAAGTAGATAATTAGTGATCTGTCTCCTATATTTCATGCATATTGGTAGCAAGAGGCATGATCAGAACTGGGTTTGATTTTTGGGGCAACAGGGAGGATACAAAAGCTAGCTGGTATGCTCGTTGGTCTGTTAATTCATTAGAGATTGCTAAAATTGTGGTATTTATCTATTTTTCGTTTATTAGAAACTCATACTCATCTTCATTACCCTGAGTTACAGGTTCTATGTGAAATCCATGTTACATGCTTGATTCTAGCTTTTATTACCAGTTTTTAAAAGTGTTGATTTTTTAGCCGATTTTTAACTGTTTTTGGTTTTGAATATTTAAATATATTTAAGGTATTTACTGTTCATGTTGATTTTGGCCTCTTTGAATTGACTCCTGAGACCTTTTGCTATGCAGCCATAGCAATCTTTTTTTTCTTTTTTTTTTTTTTTTGAGATGGAGTTTTGCTCTCTTGCCAGACTGAAGTGCAGTGGCACGATCTCAGCTCACTGCAACCTCCGTCTCCCAGGCACAAGCGATTCCCCTGCCTCAGCCTCCCGAGTAGCTGGGACTACAGGTGCACACCACCACACCCAGCTAATTTTTTGTATTTTTAGTAGAGAAGTGGTTTCACCATGTTGGCCAGGATGGTCTTGATCTGACTTTGTAATCAGCCCGCCTCAGCCTCCCAAAGTGCTAGGATTACAGGCGTGAGCCACTGCGCCCAGCCAGCCATAGCAGTCTTTACTGGTTACCTCGCTGTGCAGTTTGTCAAGATGTTCCAGGCTCTTGCACATTTCATGCCAAAGGCCTGGAGTCAACCAGTTCTTTTAAGTCCTTAGGCTACTTTATGGGGAAATGGTATTTTGTGGACCACTACCTAGACACAAGTAGTATTTGTGTTGACTGGTTTTGTCATTGTTTTTAAGCTTTTTTAGACAGAGCTGTTTAGTTTTTATGTTTTTTTTTTTGTTTTTTTTGAGATGGAGTCTTGCTCTGTCGCCCAGGCTGGAGTGCCGTGGCCGGATCTCAGCTCACTGCAAGCTCCACCTCCCAGGTTCACGCCTTCCCCGCCTCACCTCCCAGTAAGCGGGCGACTACAGCGCCCGCGCACTTCACCGGCCTAGTTTTGTATTTTTTAGTTGGAACGCGGGTTTCACCGTGTTACAACCAGGAGGTCTCGATCTCTGACCCTCAGTGATCCACCCGTACTCGGCCTCCCAAAGTTGCTGGATGACAGGCTGAGCCAACCGCGCCCAAGCCTAGTTTTTATGTTAAGACAAAAATAGTATGTTTGTATCTGTATGCTTCACATTAAATCAGCTGTATGATTTTTCCTTTCTTCTACTTCCTGCCCTTTCTCCCGTAGTGAAAATCTCTGAAAAAAATCTGCCTTCCTGGGTTCAAGCACCTGTCCTCGTTAACCTCATGAAGTACTGGGATTCACAGGTGCGCCACCACCACACACCAAGCTAATTCTCTTGTATTTTTTTACGAGAAGATGGGATCTCCACCATGTTGGCCAGGTGGTCTCGACTCCTGACCTTCAGGTGAATCTCACCTGTCTTGGGCCCCCGACATGCAGGATTACAGGCATGAGGCCAGTGCGCCCTGGCTGCCTTTTCTCCTGTTGATTTTTTTTGACTAATAGTTGTGTTCTGGAAGTCACTTTCGTAATCGGTGTCTAAGATCATTCTTTCCGTTTTTATTTTTTTACTTCTTTTTATTCTTTTTCTTCTGAGATGGACGATCGTGCTCTGCTAGCCCGGGCCTGGAGTGCAGGGGCCGGAATCTCGCTCACTGCAAGCTCACCGCCTCACCGGGTTTGCGCCATTCCTCCTGCCTCAGCCTCCGGAGTAAGCTGTGGACAGAACTAGCGCCCCGCCACCTCGCCCAGCTTAGTTTCTTGATAATTTATTAGTAGAGACCGGGTCTCTACACCGATCGTTAGCCGGACTGTCTCGATCTTCCTGCCTCGTGATCCACAACCGCAATCTCGGCCCTCAACCAAAAAGTGCATGGGAATTAACAGCTGCTGAGCCACCTCGCAGCCCGGACCTTCGTTTCTGTTTACTGTTGACTGATTACTCAGTTGTTTGGATGTACATGTTGTATTCAACCGTTGATGGACTGTTGAGTTGCTTCTGGGCCCCGTAGGTTTCCTCACCTTTTACAATTAGTCAGTAGTCATGTGGGTATATTTTTTTCCCATAGCTTTATTAAGTTATTCTATAATTGGCAAATAAAATTGCATACATGCTTTTTGGGTATTGTGAACATTTAAAGTAAGCAATTTTGAATTATATAATACATTATTATTAACTGTCATCACCCTGCTCTCCAGAACTTACTTCTACTAACAGAAACTTTATACCCTGTGAAACATTTCCCCAGTCCCTCCCTTCCCCCATCCCTGGCTTATGGTAACCACTATTATACTGTCTCTATGAGTTCCACCTTGTTAGATTTCAAATACAAGTGAGATCAGGCAGTGTTTGTTTTTATATGCCTGCCCTATTTCACTTAGCATAATGTCTTCTAGGTTCATTCAGGTTGTGACAAATGACAGGATTTCCTTCTTTAAGACTGAATGCGTCTGGGCACAGTGGCCGATGCCTGTAATCCCAGCACTTTGGGAGGCCAAGGCAGGCCAAGAGGTCAGGAGATCGAGACCACGGTGAAACCCCATCTCTACTAAAAGTACAAAAATTAGCCAGGCACAGTGGCCGATGCCTGTAATCCCAGCACTTTGGGAGGCCAAGGCAGGCCAAGAGGTCAGGAGATCGAGACCACGGTGAAACCCCATCTCTACTAAAAGTACAAAAATTAGCCAGGCACAGTGGCCGATGCCTGTAATCCCAGCACTTTGGGAGGCCAAGGCAGGCCAAGGCAGGCGGATCACCTGAGGTCAGGAATTCAAGACCAGCCTGCCAACATGGTGAAACCACATCTCTAGTAAAAATACGAAAATCGAGGCTGGGCACAGTGGCTCATGCCTGTAATCCTAGCACTTTGAGAGGCTGAGGCAGGTGGATTGCCTGAGCTCAGGAGTTCCAGACCAGCCTGGGCAACACGACGAAACCCTGTCTCTACTAACAGTACAAAAAAATTTGCCAGGCATGGCCGCATGCACCTGTAATTCCAGCTACTCAGGAGGCTGAGGCAGGAGAATTGCTAGAACCTGGGAGGTGGAGGTTGCAATGAGCCAAGATCACATCACTGCACTCCAGCCTGGGCGACAGAGCAAGACTCTGTCTAAAACAAAACAAAACAAAACTGAATGGTATTCCAGTGGGTGTGTACACCATGTTTTCTCCATCCGTTCGTTTGCTGTGAACACTGGGTTGTTTCCATGTGTTAGCCACTATAAGTAATGCTGCAACACAGACAGTAGTGCAGACACCCTTCAGCATACTAATTTCACTTCCTTTGGATATACATAGGATTGTTGGATCATATGGTACTTCTATTTTCAACTTTTTTTGACCCAGAGTCTCGCTCTATTGCCCAGGCTGGAGTGCAGTGGCAAAATTTCAGCTCACTACAATCTCATCCTCCCAAGTAGCTGGGATTACAGGCGTATGCCACCATGCCCAGCTGATTTTTGTGTTTTTAGTAGAGACGGGGTTTCACTATGTTGGCCAGGCTGGTCTGGAACTCCCAACCTCAAGTGCTTCGCCTGCCTCGGCCTCTCAAAGTGCTGGGATTACAGGCGCGAGCCACTGTGCCTGGCCTATTTTTAACTTTTTGAGGAACCTCCATACTGGTTTCCATAATGGCTATATGAATTTACCTTCCCAGCAACAGTGTACAAAAGTTCCCTTTCTCCACATCTTCTGTAACACTTATTTTTTTTGTTACACCCATTTTAATAGATGTGAGATGCTATCTTGTGAGTTCAGCTTACATTTCTTTGATGATTAGTGATTTTTGAACATTTTTACATATGCCTGCATTTCTTTTATGAGTGAGTTTAGCATCTCTTTCATATGTTTAAGAGCCATTTGCCTTTTTTTGTTCTGTGAACGCTGTTCATTTCTCTAACCCTTTTTTCTATAGCATTGTTGGGCCTTTTCATGTCTGTTTTTACAATTCGTATATTAGAGATACTAGTGCCCTTGCCTGTGATGAGCTCCAGTTTACTATTTTGACTTAGTTTTTTGGGAGGTTTTTACTCTGCTTGTTGTTGTTTAGAGACAGGGTCTCATTCTGTTGCCCAGGCTGGAGTGTGGTGGTGCGATTGTAGCTCACTGCAACCTCCAACTCCTTGGCTCAAGCAGTCCTCCCCACTCTGCCTCCCAAGCAGCTAGGACTACAGGTTGCACACCACCATGCCCAGCTTTTTTTTTTTTTTTTTTTCTTGTAAGAGATGGGTCTCGCTGTGGTACCCAGGGTGGCCTTGAACTCCTGGGCTCATGCAATCCTACCCCCTTGGCCTCTGAAAGTGCTCGGGTTACAGGTGTGAGGCAGCACACCTGGTTATTTTGACATGTGTTTGTGGCAGGGGGGTTTTACCTTGTTTACTATGGTTTTTATACCATGAAAACATTTTATTAATGATTAATTAAAGCTGTCATTTTCTTTTCTTTTGTTCTACTGATTCTACCATAGGCAGAAATAGTATAGTCATGTAAAATATATGTTAAAATGTAAATTAAATGTATTTTTAAAAATATACACTTAATTCTTTGTTGCTATAATGTGTTCCTCTTCTAGGCAAGGATAAAAGCCATCAATACATTTTTTGCTAAGAATGGTTATCGATTAATGGATTCTAGTATCTATAGTCAGCCCATTCAAACTCAAGCACAGTATGCCTCCCCAGTCTTTATGCAGCCTGTATATAATCCTCACCAACAGTACTCGGTCTATAGTATTGTGCCTCAGTCTTGGTCTCCAAATCCTACACCTTACTTTGAAACACCACTGGTAAGTGAGATCCTTATAATAAAATATAATAATATTTTAAATTTGAGCTGAAATTTGAAGAAATCAGTTGGAGTGGGAACTCATGTTGACATTGATGACTTTTTGGCTTTTATTTTATTTTTATATTTTTTGTAGAGATGGAGTTTTGCTGTGTTGCTCAGGCTGGTCTTGAACTCCTGTGCTCAGGCAGTCCACCCGCCTTGGCCTCCCAAAATGCTAGGATTACAAGCATGAGCCACTATGCCCGGCCACTTTTTGGCTTTTAAACAGTGATATAGATATCTAATTTTCCATACCAAATAAATGCATATGACTAAGAGTTGAGCTATTAGAGTGCATAATTTTATTCCATAAAATTTGCTGAGTGAATTGAAAGAAGAGACTGAAAAAGTTGCGTGGTTTTAAATGCATTTTAATGTTGCGAAATGTCAGACCAGAACATTCTTTATTAAGTTATGAATTGTTTTTCATAAATCCAGTGGCATTTGAAGTGAATATTGCAGAAGTGAATCAGTAAAATATTTTAAGATATTTTTGGCTTGCAAAAGATAAATTCATAAGCTCATTAAGGTTCTTGTGACCCTCACACCAGGTTTTACCTTTACCATTAATATTGTTTAAACATACATTTTCTTCTAGGCTCCCTTTCCCAATGGTAGTTTTGTGAATGGCTTTAATTCGCCAGGATCTTATAAAACAAATGCTGCTGCTATGAATATGGGTCGACCATTCCAAAAAAATCGGTAAGATAAAAACCATAGCTATAATGTATTTTAAACAATTCCTAATGGATCTTAAGGCATTCATAGCAATGCTTATTGTCAGGCTCAGTAAAAAGGTTTGGTGGCTTTTTTGTTTTGTTTTTACTAAATGTATGTGAACAGTTTAATCTAGAATTCATAAAAACACTTTGACCTTTGAGTTGGTAATGCTACTAACAGACTTGGGACTCAGATTTTTTTTTTTAATAAAGAGAATAGAAAACTTACTTCATGACAGCAGTCTCTGACAAATCTGGTGACTAATTTCCATTTAGTATGTTAAATTGGTAGCATTTTAGAGAATTCTTTGAAGAATAAATGTTGGGATGTATGTTATTTAGGTTTTTAAAGGATTTTTGAAATGACATCCAAGAACTACAGTGCACAGCAGACAGTAGCTAACATTTATTGCACATTTAATATCACAAACTCTGTTCCTAAGGATTTTACATATTTTATCACTTTTTTTTTTGAGACTGAGTCTGGCTCTGTCGCCCAGGCTGGAGTGCAGTGGCCGGATCTCAGCTCACTGCAAGCTCCGCCTCCCGGGTTTACGCCATTCTCCTGCCTCAGCCTCCTGAGTAGCTGGGACTACAGGCGCCCGCCACCTCGCCCGGCTAGTTTTTTTTTTGTATTTTTTAGTATTGACGGGGTTTCACCGTGTTAGCCAGGATGGTCTCGATCTCCTGACCTCGTGATCCACCCATTTCGGCCTCCCAAAGTGCTGAGATTACAGGCTTGAGCCACGGCGCCTGGCCCGTTCAGGATAAATTATTAAGAATCATAGAAACTATATGGTATCGTAACAAAGATTGACATGTACGTCTGAGGTATTTTACTTTATGTAGACATCAACAGATAATCTCAATATTTGGTGTATGTTATGGCTTCCTGTTGTTGTTTTGGGTGTAGAGACGGGGTCTGCTTATGTTGCCTGGGACTGGTCTTGAACTCCTGGGCTCAAAGCAGTCGTCCCACCTTGACCTCCCAAATTGCTAGGATTACAGGCATGATACTATGTCTTTTAACAGAATATAAGTAACCAAAGAATAAAGGACTGATATATAGTCATTTTGATTTATTTAATAGTTTCACATTTGTTATTTCTCATTTGCTGTTTTGTGAGACTCTTGGTTTTTGAGGGTTTTTCCTAATAGTTTATATTCAGTGCCACTCAGTCTTTTGCCAGATTCGATCCTCCTAATTATTTCTTTTTGGAAAGGAGACCATCTGGAGTATGTTTTTCCGAGATGACTTCTAGGAACTTAGTCCTTTTTTGACAGGCTTTTCTGAAACTTGTTTTACTGGAGAAATGAGCCCCAACAGAATGAAAAAATATTCTTCTCACTGGAAACATTATGTACTACCCTTTAATAGTCAGAGTTTTTGGACTGCTCTTGACAGACACAATTGGTTAAAGCAATTGAAGATCATTTTCAAGTGTTAGAAAAATTTTACTACTAAGAATAAACACAGGCCGAGGTCCGTGGATCACCTGAGCTCAGGAGTTCAAGAACAGCCTAGGCAACATGATGAAACACCACCTCTAACAAAAATACAAAAATTAGCTGGGCGTGGTGGCATAGTGCACGCCTGAAGTCCCAACTACTCAGGAGGCTGAGGAATGAGAATTGCTTGAGCCTGAGAAGCAGAGGTTGCAGTGAACTGAGATTACACCACTGCACTCCAGCCTGGGCGACAGCGAGACTCTGTTATTCTCTGCCGCCATCCGCGCTCACCCTTCCCTGCTCCCCCCGTCTGAAAAATAAAGGTACTGATATTTGCAGTTGCTTGACTCTGAAATACTTTAGATAGCTCCATGGTTATTTCTTTATTGTTACCTTTTATCCGTTGTACCTTTTTGGTGACAGGGATGAAATTATAGTAAGAAAACCAGGAATGACAGTCAAGTTATCTTTACTTATAAGGAAGTATACCTATGGTTTTGAAAATACATGGTGTGTGGTACATTTTTGCATGTTACTTAAAACTACTTGTGTACAGTTCTTTTCCATATATTTGACCAATACAGGTTAGTAATTTTTAATTACAGAAATAATAAGTGAATACTTTTTCTAAAAAAGCAAATAAAGACCTTCTGGACCAGCAACCCGAATCCTTGTTTCCTTCTTGCTTCTAAAAAGTGACTACTGCCAGGCCTTTATTATTATTAATATTAACAGCCAAGGACAAAGTCATTTTTAGAGAGCCTTTTGCAATTTTTGTATTAACTTGTGACAGCCCAGTGATGATCACTATTCCTACTTAGAGAGAATAGGACTAACTTTCAGAAATCCAGGCATTTTTCTACCTTTCATACTTTATCTTTCTTTCACTTTACCTCTCTTTTCTGTCTTTTATCACTTCTTTCTTTCTTCATTCTTTCTCTCTTTTGCCTGGATTGAGATTGTAAGTCCCTCTCAGTGAAGGGTAAGATTATGAGATCTGAGGGCTATATAAATGTAGTAAGTTGTTCGTTAAGCATATTGAAATGTGTGAAAGTTGGATGAAGGACATTTTCTAAACACATGCAAGTAGCATATCTATCATATCAGTTCATTTTCAGATGTAATGGGTAATATACTTTTTTTGTTTGTTTGTTTGTTTGTTTTTTTGGAGACAGAGTCTCGCTGTGTCACCAGGCTGTAGTGTAGTAGTGAGATCTTGGCTCACTGCAACCTCTGCTTCCTGAGTTCAAGCGATTCTCCGGCCTTAGCCTTCTGAGTAGCTGGGACTACAGGCATGTGCCAGCTAATTTTTGTATTTTTAGTAAAGATGGGGTTTTATCATGTTGGCCAGGATGGTCTCAATCTCTTGACCCCGTGATCCATCCACCTTGGCCTCCCAAAGTGCTGTACAGGCATGAGCCAGCACACCTGGCGTTTTTGTTGTTGTTGTTTTTATAAATAAGACGGAGTTTTGCTCTCTTTGTCCAGGTTGAAGTGCAATGGCGTGATCTCGGCTCACTGTAACCTCCGCATCCTGTGTTCAAGCGATGCTTCTGCCTTAGCCTTCCAAGTAGCTGGGATTACAGGCACATGCCACCACGCCCAGCTAGTTTTTTGTATTTTAGTAGAAACTGGGTTTCACCATGTTAGCCAGGCTGGTCTTGAACTCCTGACCTCAGGTGATCCACTCACCTTGGTCTCCCAGAGTTGATCCACTCACCTTGGTCTCCCAGAGTGCTGGCATTATAGGCATGAGCCACTGCACCCGGCCTAAGTATTTTTAAAATTACTTTTTGTGGCCGGTGGGGTGGCACATGCCTATATTCCCCACACATTGAGAAGCCAAGGCAGGCAGATCACTTGAGCTCATGAGTTGGAGACCAACCTAGGCAACAGAGTGAAACCCCGTCTCTACTGACAATATAAAAATTAGCCAAGCATACTAGTGTGCATCTGTAGTCCCTGCTACTCAGGAAACTGAGGTAGGAGGATAGCTTCAGCCCAGGAGGTAGAGGTTGTAATGAGCCGAGATCGCACCACCTCGCTCCAGCCTGGGTGACACAGCTAGACCTTTCTCAAAAAAAAAAAAAAAAATTTTTTTTTGTTAGGTGACATACTATTTTTATTGCTATTTAAGAAATCTAGTTTGTAATATAAAGTAATTCGTGAAATTCAACCCAACTTCTTTTTTTTTTTTTTTTAAAGACAGTGTTTTGTCCTGTCACCCAGGCTGTAGTACAGTAACATGATCATGGCTCACTGTAGTTTTCACTTCCCAGGCTCAATCAATTCTCCACCTCAGCCTTCCTAGTAGCTGGGACTACAGGTGCGTACCACCATGCCTAGCTAAGTTTTACATTTTTTTTGGTAGAGATAGGATTTTGCCATGTTGCACAGGCTGGTCTCAAACTCCTAGGCTCAAATGATCCTCTCACCTCAGCCTCTTCAAGTGCTGGGGTTACAGATATGAGCCACTGAGCCCACTGTGCCCAGCCTGATAATTTTATCTTGTTTGTTTTTGTTTTTGTTTGTTATTGTATTTTTAGTTAGAGACAGGGTTTCACCACGTTGGCCAGGATGGTCTCGATCTCTTAACCTCATGATCTACCCGCCTTGGCCTCCCAAAGTGCTGGGATTAGAGGCGTGAGCCACCACACCCAACTACTTTAAGTGTTAATAGTGGTAATTTTTTATGGTCCGTCAAGAATAAAGCAGGACAGCTAGAGATGCTGTGGGAATTTACATTTACTTGGTGGGGTTATAATTACTCAAGAAGTTTTCAATCCCTATTCCTAGAGTCAGGAATTGGCAACATGTGATTAATGTTGTTGGTTTATAACTATGAAAATAGATTACAAAAACTGGGATATATAAACTGCAAATAATGAGCCAAACATAAATCTCACTCTTATTAATCTGTAGAGCCAGGATACTCAGTTGCTTGAGTTTTTAGGTGTTTTTGCTACTGTAGGTGTTTTGGCTACTGATTAAACTGCATTATTTTTCTGTTAATCGACCTTAGCTTCATCTGCTTGTAAGCTTTTAGGAAGTTGGATGCTTATACCCATCATCCAAGATAAAAACTCCCTTTGTTAGAAGCAAGTTGGTCTGTTTAACCACATTGCATACCTTAATTCATGCAGTCATGCCATGCTATTGGGTGCATTGCTGTATTTTCCTAGTTTGCTGTCCTACATATGGATCTTTCGACAAATCTCATTTGGTGATGCATGCTTAGTAAGATGCTAGGTTTTGTTTGTTTGTTTGTTTGTTTTGTTTTTTGAGGCAGAGTTTTGCTCTTGTTGCCCAGGCTGGAGTACAATGGTGTGATCTTGGCTCACTGCAACCTCTGCCTCCTGGGTTCAAAAGATTCTCCTGCCTCAGCCTCCTGAGTAGCTGGGATTTCAGGTGTGTGCCACCACGCCTGGCTAATTTTTGTATTTTTAGTTGAGATGGGTTTTCACCATGTTAGCCAGGCTGGTCTCAAACTCCTGACCTCAGGTGATCCACCTGCTTCTACCTCCCAAACTTCTAGGATTATAGGTGTGAGCCACCGTGCCCAGCTGAGGCTAGAATTTTTTAATTGTATTCCAGTATTTCTTACTGTCTTCATTATTACTACCCTAAACAGCCTTTTTAGGCATTTTCCTCCTTTGAAAATTGAATACTACAGATGATTGTATATCTGTATGTATGTAATGTATGTATCTGTGCTTTATACATAAAATGATTACTTTTGCCCTTCCCCCACCCCCCATTTTTACTCCCATTTAGCATGGTTTTGCTTCCATTAAGAATGCATAGCGGGCTGGGCGTGGTGGCTCACACCTGTAATCCCAGCACTGTGGGAGGCTGAACTGGGTGGATCATGAGGTCAAGAGATGGAGACCATTCTGGCCAACATGGTGAAACCCCATCTCTACTAAAAATACAAAAATTATCTAGGTGTGGAGACGCATGCCTGTAGTCCCAGCTACTCGGGAGGCTGAGGCAGGAGAATGGCGTGAACCTGGGAGGCGGAGCTTGCAGTGACCTGAGATTGCACCACTACACTCCAGCCTGGCGACAGAACGAGACTCCGTCTCAAAAAAAAAAAAAAGCATGTTATAGGCCAGATGTGATGGTTCATGCCTGTAATCTCGACACTTTGGGAGGCCATGGTGGGTGGATCACGAGGTCAGGAGTTCAAGACCAGCCTGGCCAAGGTGGCAAAACCCTGTCTCTACTGAAAATACAAAATTAGCCGGGTGTGGTGGCGCATGCCTATAGTCTAGCTGCTTGGGAGGCTGAGGCAAGAGAATAGCTTGCACCTGGAAGACGGAGGTTGCAGTGAGCTGAGATTGCACCACTGCACTCCATCCCAGGCAACAGACAGACTCCATCTCACCAAAAAAAAAAAAAAGAAGAATGTATTGCGTGTACTCATAAGCTTAAACCTGGCTGATTTAAACATGTCGAGAGTGCATCCGATGACATTAGCTAAAATCCTAATTCTGAGTATTGAAGTAAAAGTAAGTTTCTTTCAAAGAACTTTGGATTTTCCCCCGTCTCTCCAAACACAACTTTAAAAATATATATATTATTATCTTAGAGATAAGGTTTTCTCTGATGACTGTGCATGAATTCAGTTGTGCATGAATTCAGTTGTGCAATCATAGCTTGTTGCAGCCTCAAACTCCTGGGCCCAAGCAGTCTTCTGCCTCAGCCTTCCAAGTAGCTGGGAATAGTATAGGTACATATGGCTGCACATTTTAATTTTTTTTGCAGTGATAGGGTCTTGCTGTGTTGTCCCAGCTGGTGTCAAACCCCAGAGCTCAAGCAGTCCTCCTGCCTCAGCCTCCCAGAGTGCTGAGATTACAGGCGTGAGCCACTGCGTCCAGCCCACAACATTTTTTAATGTAAAATTTACTTCACTTTGGCCTGGCGTGGTGGCTCACGCCTGTAATTCCAGCACGTTGGGAGGCCGAGGCGGACGTATTACAAGGTCGGGAGATCGAGACCATCCTGGCTAACATGGTGAATCCCCGTCTATACTAAACAAAATACAAAAAATTAGCTGGATGTAGTGGCCAGCACCTGTAGTCCCATCTACTCGGGAGGCTGAGGCAGGAGAATGGCATGAACTCAGGAGGCGGAGCTTGCAGTAAGCCGAGATGCGCCACTGCACTCCAGCCTGGGCGACAGAGCGAGACTCTGTCTCAAAAAAAAAAAAAAAATTTACTTCACTTTTTAAAATAACGTCTGGAATGTAGAAGGGACTACACTTTTACAACATAATGCTTTTCAAGGTAAATTTTTTGAAAACCCCAGTACAACAGGAGCCAGTTTTTTACCTGAGGAAAGTTGTTTTTCTGTCTTGATTTACTGCTTTATGTATATTATTTTATATTTCCTATAGTGTGAAGCCTCATTTTAGGTCATCCAGTGGTTCAGAACACTCAACAGAGGGCTCTGTATCCTTGGGGGATGGACAGTTGAATAGATCTAGTTCAAGAAACCTTCCAACTGAACGGCATAACCCTACAGTAACTGGGCATCAGGAGCAAACTTACCTTCAAAAGGAGACTTCCACTTTGCAGATGGAACAGAACGGGGACTATGGTAGGGGCAGGTAAGGAAATAAGGTACCTGAAAATCTTTGATAATAGTGTGATCATCCTGAATAATTGAAGAACGTGATCTGGCGGTTGGTTTGGTTTGATGTTAATTTAATTATTGGTATATGGTTATATTAAATAAATATGTTATTTTCAGAACATGAGTTGGTTGCTTTTTATAAAGAAATAGAGTACTCATATAGAAAACGTCTCTGAATCAGAGGTTTATAAAGTTATTCTGAAGTTCCTTATAGTTCATATAGGAAAGAATAGCTTAGAAAATTAACATATCCATCTGCCTTATGGTTTTATTTCTTCCAGCTTTTAAACTATAGAAGTGGCTGGGTGCGGTGCCTCACGCCTGTAATCCCAACACTTTGGGAGGCTGAGGTGGGAGGATCATCTGAGGTCAGGAGTTCAAGACCAGCCTGGCCAACATGGTGAAACCCAGTCTCTATGAAGAAATACAAAAATTAGCAGGGCATGGTGGCAGGCACCTGTAATCCCAGCTACTCAGGAGGCTGAGGCAGGAGAATCACTTGAACCCGAACCCAGGAGGCAGAGGTTGCAGTGGGGCAAGATTGCGCCACTGCGTTCCAGCCTGGGTGACAGAGCGAGACTGTGTCTCAAAAATATAAATAAACTATAGGGGTGAGGTTATATATTGCCAACTTGCCTAATTAAATAATAGTATGGTTCTGGTTTGAAGGGATCGCTACTAACAAATGGACTCATCTTACTTTATGGTGTGGTAGTAGGTAAAGTTTTTGGTAAATTGGCTCAAGATACCTCAGAATAATATATTATCTTTTAGTAATAGAGAAAACTAGCCCGAAATGTAGAAAGATGTTTAAATTGAAATGTATACAGCTGACCGGGCATGGTGGCTCACGCCTGTAATCCCAGCACTTTCGGAGGTGGGGCAGGCGGATCATGAGGTCAGGAGATCAAGACCATCCTGGCCAACGTGGTGAAACCCTGTCTCTACTACAAATACAGAAATTAGCTGGGCGTGGCGGCGTGTGCCTGTAATTCCAGCTACTCAGGAGTCTGAGCAGGAGAATTGCTTGAACCTGGGAGGCAGAGTTTGTAGTGAGCCGAGATAGCGAGATAGCGCCACTGCACTCCAGCCTGGCGACAGAGTGAGACTGTCTCAAAAAAAAAAAAAGTATCACGAGGTCAGGAGATCGAGACCGTCCTGGCGAACACGGTGAAACCCCGTCTCTACTAAAAAATACAAAAAACTAGCCGGGCGAGGTGGCGGGCGCCTGTGGTCCCAGCTACTCGGGAGGCGGAGCTTGCAGCGAGCCGAGATCGCGCCACTGCACTCCAGCCCGGGCGACAGAGCGAGACTCCGTCTCAAAAAAAAAAAAAAAAAAAAAAAAAGTATATGACTTTGATAGAATGTATCTATCTGAAGAAACTTATGACTTGTCCCTTCTCCTCCCCGAAACTTTTTCTTATTAAAAGGAGAACTCTCTTCAGAGGTCGAAGACGACGAGAAGATGACAGGATCTCAGTAAGTTTTTTAAAACTTTTATTCAGACTTTTTTCTCTTCTGTGATTTACTATGGCATTGACTTTTGGTCTTTCCTTTCTGGGTTTTTGTTTTATTGATTGTAGTCTTCAGCAAAGGTAAATAGAGCCTAAATTTAACCCTGAAATTTTTACCACCACTACCCATATATCCACCCTCTAGCACACATGTAGTATGGAGTTTCACTTGTGTTGCTTGCTTAAAAAAATTATTTGAAGATTAATGTATCCACGTGATTTTTAAATAAAATCACGAAGTCGTTCTAACTTTCCTTACCTTTTCTTTCTTCTTTCTTTTCCAAGACACAGGATATTACTGTTTCCCAGGGCACTGGAATTACAGGCCTGAGCCACCGTGCTTGATGCAAGATAAGGACTTCTAGGGAGAGGCAGAGGAGGAAGGGTCTTGCTCTGTTGCCCAGGCTGAAGTGCAGTGGTACAATCATGGCTCACTGCAGCCTTGACATCCTAGGCTTAAGTGATCCTCCTCTAGAGATGGGGTCGGGCACTGTGGCTCATGCTTGTTATGCCAGCTCTTTGGGAGGCTGAGTCAGTTGGATCACTTGAGGCTACAGGCCCCATGCAAGTGCAAAACCAAGCAGAACGGTCAGGACATCTTAAAGCTCCAAAATACTCGCCTTTGGCCAGGCATGCCGACTCAAGTCTGTAATGTCAGCACTTTGTGAGGCTGAGATGTACAGATCACTTGAGCTCAGGAGTTGGATACCAGCCTGGGCAGCATGGTGAAACCCCATCTCTACAAAATTAAAAAAATAAGCCAGGCACCACGGTACACGCCTGTGGTCCCAGCTACTTGGGAGGCTGAAGCAGGCTGATCCCTTGAGCCCAGGAGGTGGAGGTTGCAGTGAGCCAAGATTGTGCCACTGCACTGCAGCCTGAGCAACCAAGTGAGACTTTGTCTCAAAAAATAATAAAATAATATCTTTTGACTCCATGGCCACTCCTAGGTTACACTGATACAAGGGTTGGGCTCCCAAGGCCTTAGGCAGCTCCACCCCTTTGGCTTTGCAGGGATCAACCCTGGAGGCTGCTCTTATGGGCCCACGTTGAACGCCTGTGGCTTTTCCATGCCTGTTTTGGAGTCTAGAGGACGGTGACCACCTTCTGCCACTATGCAGTGCCCTAGTGGAGGCGTGTTGTGAGGGCCTCAGCCCCATTTTTCCCCTCTGCACTCCCCCCCTGGAGCAGGTTTCTGGACTTATACCAGACTGGTAGAAGTTTCTTTCAGAGGATGCCGTACATCCTCTGAAATCGAGTCAGAGGCTCCCAAGCCAGTCTAGGAAGTTCCTCATCTTCTATCCTTTTGAGCCCTCCAGACTCTTCCACCCTCTACCTGTTACCCAGTTCCAGTACTGCTTCCACATTTTCAGTTATCTTTTAGCAGTGCTCCACTCCTCAATACCAATTTTCTTTAAGCCATTCTCACATTGCTAGAAAGAAATACTTGAGACTGGATAATTCATAAAGAAAAGAAGTTTAATTGGCTCACAGTTCTGCAGGCTGTACAGGAAGCATGATGCAGGCATCTGCCCAGCTTCTGGGGAGGCCTTGGTAAAGTTACAATCATGGCTGAAGGCAAATGGGGACCACGCAGTGAATACATGGCAGGAGGAAGAGAGAAGAAAACCGTTTTCAAAGAAGAAAATGTGTTCCATTATAACTTAGAATTGTTTTTAGGCCATACTGAACCTCTTAAATCAATGTTGTAACTTTATTATACACAACCATGAAACTTCAGGCAACTTTTTTTTTTTTTTGAGGGGGAGACCAAGTTTCGCTTTTGTTACCCAGGCTGGAGTACAAATGGCACGATCTCAGCTCACTGCAACCTCTGACTCCCGGGTTCAAGCGGTTCTCCTGCCTCAGCCTCCCGAGTAGCTGCGACTACAGTCACCTGCCACCACGTCTGGCTCATTTTCTGTATTTTTAGTAGAGACGGAGTTTCACCATGTTGGCCAGGCTGGTCTCAAACTCCTGACCTCAGGTGATCCACCTGCCTTGGCCTCCCAAAGTGCTGGGATTACAGGCGTGAGCCACTGTGCCTGACCAACAATTCTTTTTTTTTTTTTTTTTTTTTGAGACAGAGTTTTGCTCTTGTTGCCCAGGCTGGAGTACAGTGGTATGATCTCGGTTCACTGCAACCTCTGCCTCCTGGATTCAAGTAATTCTCCTGCCTCAGTCTCCCAAGTAGCTGGAATTACGGGTGCTCGCCACCATGCCTGGCTAATTTTTATATTTTAGTAGAGACATGTTTCACCATGTTGGTCAGGCTGGTCTTGAACTCTTGACCTCAGGTGATCCACCTGCTTCGGCCTCCCAAAGTGCTGGGATTATAGGCATGAACCACTACACCCAGCCCAACAGTTCTTTTTTGGCATTCCATTGCAGCAGTCCACATGACTTCTCACATGGCCCTCAACAATTTGGAATAAGAGATTAGACCCTGCATGGTGGCTCAGGCCAGGCATGGTGTCTCACGCCTGTAATCCCAGTACTTTGGGAGGCTCAGGTGGGTGGATTGCCTGAGGGTAGGATTTCAAGACCATCCTGGCCAACATGGCGAAACCCCGTCTCTACTAAAAATACAAAAATTAGGCCGGGCGCGGTGGCTCAAGCCTGTAATCCCAGCACTTTGGGAGGGCCGAGGACGGCGGATCACGAGGTCAGGAGATCGAGACATCCTGGTTAACACGGTGAAACCCCGTCTCTACTAAGAAATACAAAAAAAAAACTAGCCGGCGAGTGCGGGCGCCTATAGTCCCAGCTACTCGGGAGGCTGAGGCCGGAGAATGGCGTGAACCCGGGAGGCGAGCTTGCAGTGAGCTGAGATCCGGCCACTGCACTCCAGCCTGGGCTACAAAGCGAGACTCCGTCTCAAAAAAAAAAAAAAAAAAAAAAAAGAAAAATTAGCCAAGTGGTCGGTGGGTGGTGCCTGTAGTCCTAGCTACTTAGGAGGCTGAGGCAGGAGAATCACTTGAATCCAGGAGGCAGAGGTTGCAGTGAGCTGAGATCGTGCCACTGCACTCCAGCCTGGACGACAGAGCGAGACTCCCGTCTCAAAAAAAAAAATAGAGATTAGATTTGGGGTTTATTCAGTATGTTGTAAATGTTATGATGGAGGACTAAACATTGGGGTAAAAGAAACAGGCATGACTTCCAGTAGGTAGGTCTTGGTAGAGGAGCTCTTATGCAGGAGGGAGATCTTAGCTGGGAATAAAATTTTGGATTTGTAAGCCTTCACATAGTAATTGGAGTGATAAGCTCATGCAGAGTACTCTCCATAGAGTGATGCAAGTGGTCTAATATGGAACTTTGGGGAATAAAGCAGCAGTGTTGGGTTGAAAAATGAGATTTTTCAGCATACTGTTTAAAGTATTCAAGCAAAATCTGAATGGACATGGCTAATGGACAAGTGTTATCTGGGTTGTAGGCAAAGGCCTAGGCTGAAAATATTTAAAACCTACAGTTCAATGATATTTTGGTAAATTTACAGAGATATACAACCATCAAAAAGCGAAAAAGATTGTTTTAACAGTCACTTGCATAAAGGTAGTAGTTGAAGCCATGGATAGTGGACATCACTCAAGGAGAATATGAGAAGTAAAGAGTAGTAACCAGATGGAAACCATCAAAATTTTAGAGATGATCAGGGGAAAAAGAGCACATGTCTGTCAAATCTAAAAAACAAAAAAGGTATCACAGAAACTAAGAGGAAAATGCGTTCCCAAGGAAAGGATGGTTAACACACCAAATGCTGTAGGTCAGGAAATATGAGGTCAGGAAAAAGGGTCTGTCAGGTTTTGCATTGTTTAAGGCATTGGTGACATCTAAAATAATTTTAGTGGAGTGATGACAAAGTGGAGGAGATAAGTAAGAGGTAAGAGGCTTGTCAGAGGATATATAGGGTGTTAGGAGGGAAGCATGAGATTTTTCATATATGTTATATAGAGGAGGGATATTGTTCTCTCGAGATAGATAGATGGAGAAAGATGGTGATGGTCGGGCACAATTGCTTAAGCCTGTAATCCCAGCACTTTGAGAGGCCAAGGGGAGAGGATCACTTAAGCTCAAGTGATCAACTTTGTCACTGCTAAAAAACAAAACATAAAAATTTAGCCAGGTGTGGTGTGCACAGCTACTCTAGAGGCAAAAAAGGCAGGAGGATTGCTTGAGTCTAGGAAGTCATGGTTGTAGTGAGCTATGATTGTGTCACTGCATTTCAGCCTTGGTGACAGACCAAGACCCTGTCTCAAAAAAAAGAAAAATAGTTGATAGCAAATTTAGGTAAAGTGGGTGTTTTTGTTGAGAAGGCATAGTAAATTATGAAATGAATAGTGGAGACTGGTTAGAAGGCTTAAGGAGTATGGCAAAGTTTACAAAAGAAACAGGTGAGAGAACTGACTAAAGAAAAGTAGAATTGATAAAGACTGATGAGAGCTCAAGTGAGATGTCAAACCAAGAATTTATGTAGGGATACAGTTCTGTGCATTATAGAGGTTTTATTTGCTGCTTTTTCTTTTCTGGCAGCTTTCAGCTTCAGTGACACAGGATTAGAGAATGAGATAGCCATGTGACCTATTTTGTTATTTGTTCATTTTAGAGACCTCATCCTTCAGCAGCTGAATCAAAGGCTCCAACACCAAAGTTTGACTTGTTAGCCTCAAATTTTCCACCTTTACCTGGAAGTTCATCAAGAATGCCAGGTGAACTCATTTTGGAGAATAGGATGTCTGATGTTGTTAAAGGTGTCTACAAAGAAAAGGTAAACACCCAGCATCTAATATGAGTCTTACCTTATGAGACCATATTTAGGCTTTATTTGCAGTGTTATTATTTAAAATTTTACTTGCACTTAGTATACATTTCTATCATAGTTTTTATTTATGGCGTTTTCAGCATACTTAGAGTGTTTTTTAAAAGATTCATGATAAAGCTGCACAAAGGCAATAAAATGTTTCTTGGCTTTTGCATGTCTTTTTTTTTTTTTTTTTTAAAGACATGATCTCAGCTGACTGCAGCCTCTACCTCCTAGATTCAAGTGATTCTCCAGCCTCAACCTCCCAAGTAGCTGGGAGTACAGTGTACGCCGCCACGCCTAGCTAACTTTCGTATTTTTTTTTTAAGTAGAGACAGGGTTTCGCCACGTTGGCCAGACTGGTCTCCAACTCCTGACCTCAAACTATCTGCCCATCTTGGCCTCCCAAAGTGCTGGGATTATAAGCGTGAGCCACCACGCCCAGCCTTGCATGTCTTTCTGTCATTCAACTCAGCCTGGTAGAACTGATAACTGATTAATGCAAGATAAATGGAAGGTATCATTTCCATTTATGTGTCTATAATTCACTAGTGATGTAAATGAATTCTTTCAAATAATGGAAAATAGATGTCTAGAGGCTGAGATACCTCATCCTATGATTATTTGGTGTGTAGACCTCTCCATATCAGAAATCCTCATGTCTCACAAGTTTTTCTCATTTTCTACTTTATTCTAATTCAGTTTTTTTTTTTTTTATTGTAACAGTACATGTCTATAGTATATCTAGGCTTTTAATGAAAAGCCTGCAACTACTTTCAGCTCCTTAGCTTTTTCTGTATTTTTTTTTTTCCTTTTGAGCGGAGTCTTGCTCTATAACCTAGGCTGGAATGCAGTGGCGGATCTCTACTCACTACAACCTCTGCCTCCCGGGTTCAAGCGATTCTCCTGCCTCAGCCTCTTGAGTAGCTGGGATTATAGGCATGAGACACCACACCCAGCTAATTTTTGTATTTTTAGTAGAGACGGGGTTTCTCCATGTTGACCAGGCTGGTCTCAAACTCCTGACCTCGCAATTCGCCCTCCTCGGTCTCCTAAAGTACTGGGATTACAGGCATGAGCCACTGTACCCAGCCCTGTATTTCTAATTAACATCTTTTTTTTTTTTTTTTTGAGATGAGTCTTGCTCTGTAGCCCAGGTTGGAGTACAGTGGTGTGATATCTGCTCACTGCAAGCTCCGCCTCCTGGGTTCACGCCATTCTCTCGCTTCAGCCTCCCAAGTAGCTGGGACTACAGGTGCCTGCTGCCACACCCGGCTAATTTTGTTTTTGTATTTTTAGTAGAGATGGGGTTTCACAGTGTTAGCCAGGATGGTCTTGATCTCCTGAACTCTGGGAGGCCCGTCTCGGCCTCCCAGAGTGCTGGGATTACAGGCGTGAGTTACTGCGCCCTGCCTAATTAACATCTTTTTATTGTAACCTCTTGGCTTTTCCATTTTCAGCAGTGTCTGTTAGCTTCACATTCTGAAGCTAAAGATTTAGGTCTCTTAAACCAACATACTCACACTTTTCCTATCCTCCTGATACATTGTACTTCATTATATATAAGATATCATCAATTATAAGGCACCCATTATTTTAGTGTCTCTAAGAAAGTAAAAACTGTTGCTAGTTATGCTAGAACACCCATCCTTTGTAAGTCACATTTCAGTATTACATATTTTTTTCATGGCTGAGACTCAAACATAATATACTATGATTGTTTCTCCTTTTGTGTGCACTCTCAGTGTCCTACTGCATAGCTGTGTTCTTGGGCCTTCTCTTTACCATCACCCTGGCAATTTTCCTTACTCTCCTTTATCGATCCCCTTTTTTTCCTCACTCTTTTTTCACTTTTCCATGTTAGAGTGGTTCGTATCTTCCATGGTCATGAAGTATAAATTTCTTGCATTCTGAAAATGTTTTTCTGCTCTCACATTGATCAGTAGATTATTTCTATATTGGATTCTCTATTAGAAATCATTTTCCCTTGGGATTTTGAAGATATTATTCCACTGTCTTGTTTCTTTAAAAAAAAAATTGTGACATGTAGTAGTTATTTCATAATAACTAAGATGCACTTTTTTCCCCCATGTTTTATCACCTTCCAAAATCAGACTAAAAATTATTTTTTAAAAAATGTAAAGGCTGGGCACAGTGGCTCATGCCTGTAATCCCCGCACTTTGGGAGGCCGAGGCAAGCGGATCACGAGGTCAGGAGTTTGAAACCAACCTGGCCAACATGGTGAAACCCCGTCTCTACTAAAATTAGAAAAATTAGCTGGGCGTGGTGGCACGCACCTGTAGTCCCAGCTACTCAGGAGGCTGAGGCAGGAGAGTCGCTTGAACCTAGGAGATGGAGGTTGCAGTGAGCCGAGATCACACCGTTGCACTCTAGCCTGGGTGACAAGAGTAAGACTCTGTCTCAAAAAAAAGAAAAAAATTAAATATCCAGTCACATTGACTCATACCTGTAATTCCAGCACTTTGGGGGTCCAAGGTGAATGGATTGCTTGAGCCCAGGAGTTCAGGACCAACCTGGGCAACATAGAGAGGTCCTGTCTGTACATAAAGTGTAAAAAAAAAAAACATAGCTGGGCATGGTGACGCATGCCTGTAGTCCTTGCTACTTGGGAAGCTGAGACAAGAGGATTACTTTAGCCCAGGAGATCAAAGCTACGATGAGCTTAAGTGCAGTATTTTTATTTTCTTCTCATCTTAAGGTCTGCTTCTATCCAGTGGTTTTATTTTTATTTTTATTTTTTCTTATTGGTACATAAAATAATGGTGTGGTTTACCAATAATGGCATCTCAGATTTCAGAAGATGATACACAAACATACATATATACTTTTTTTTTTTTTTTGAGTCGGAGTTTCACTCTTGTTGCCCAGCCTGGAGTGCAATGGCGCGATCTTGGCTCACTGCAACCTCCACCTCCCAGGTTCAAGCGATTCTCCTGCTTCAGCCTCCCAAGTAGCTGGGATTACAGGGACTTGCCACCGTGCCCAGCTAATTTTTGTGTTTTTAATAGAGATGAGGTTTCACCATGTTGGCCAGGCTGGTCTTAAACTCCTGACCTCAGGTGAGCCACTGCGCCCGGCCATATATATATTTTTAAAGAATAATCATGAAGTGTACGTCTCCTTATAACCCCAACACACAATTTAGCCGATAAACATCCCTAGTATCTTAGCAGTGACATGTGTGTCTCCTCCCTATTTATAGTCATTCTGCCCCACTCTTCCCCTTTAGATATAAACATTATTCTGACTTTGTGATAGCAGTTTTCTTGCCTTCATAGTTTTGTCATTCTGCATTGACAGAATTTTTCTGTGAAGGGCCAGATACTCATAGTAAATATTTTTGGCTTTGTGGGCCATGTATTGTCACATATTCTTTGTTTTTACAACCCTTTAATAACTTAAAAACCAAAGGCATGGTGGCTCATGCCTGTAATCCCAGCACTTCAGGAGGATCACTTGAGGCCAAGAGTTTGAGACCAGCCTAGTCAACATAGGGAGACCCCCATCTCTAAAAAATAATAATAATAATATAAAAATAATAATTATAATTTACAAACCATTCTTAGCTTGTAAGCCATACCAAAACAAGTTATAGGGTGGGTTTGGCCTTGCAGATCTTAGTTTACCAACCCCTGCCCTAGGTGATAAAACGGGGTGCCTGTTTTTGAAAAGGTTATAAAGAATTGCACAGTATATATTCTTCTTTTCTTTCATTCTGTATGGTTTGAGATTGATCACTGTTAATACAGATGACTGTTGTTCATTTTGAACTATTATGTGATTTTCTATTGTAGGAAGTAAAATATTTATTCATTGTACTGTTAATGGACATTTTGCCATTATAAATCTTCATGTGAGCAAGAACTTTTCTAGGATTTATACATCAGCTTGTGTTCTTTTAAAATTTTAAAGTCTTTCAAGTGTTTTTTTGAGATGGAGTCTCTCTCTGTCACCCAGGCTGGAGTGTAGTGTCATGATCTCGGCTTATGCAACCTCCACTGCCAGGGTTCAAGCGATTCTTGTGCCTCAGCCTCCCGAGTGGTGAATACAGGCATGCGCCACCATGCCCAGCTAATTTTTGTATTTTCAGTAGAGATGGGGTTTCTGCCTTGTTGGCCAGGCTGGCCTCGAACTTCTGACCTCAGATGATCCACCCACCTCATCCTCCCAATGTGCTGGGTTTACAGGCGTGAGCCACTGCGCATGGTCAGTCTTTCAGGTTTTTAAGAAATAGATTCATATATTTTTTTACATATTCTGCATACTAATCCTTTGTCAGTTACATGTAGTACAAATAATCTTTCACTTCTGTGGTTTCTTTTCCATCTTCAGTGCCTATAGGTTGAAACAAGTTCTTAATTTTAATATGGTCCTATTAGTCTTTTCTTTATAATTTGCTGTTTTTATTTCATGCTTAGGAAATGATCTAGCTTCCAGAGATTCTTTTGAGAACCCTAAGGGTGCTGATTCCTGATATCTGACATGATTTTTTGCCCCTTATCTGGAGGTTTTTAGGGTCTTTTATTGATCCTTGGTATTCTGCAAAATTTCGTGATGTGCTTTGGTATGGCTCTTTTTTTGTCACAATTCTTTTTGTTTGTTTTTTGTGGAGATAGAGTCTGCCTCCATTGCTTAAGCTGGAGTACAGTGGTGTGATCTTTGCCTACTGCAGCTTCCACCTCCTGGGTTCAGTCGATTCTCCTGCCTCAACCTCCCCAGAAGCTGGGATTACAGGCATGCGCCACCATGCCCGGCTAAGTTTTGTATTTTTAGTAGAGACCATGTTTCTCCATGTCGGTGAGGCTGGTCTCGAACTCCCGACCTCAGGTGATCAGCCCACCTCGCCAGCCTCCCAAAGTGTTGGGGTTACAGGTGTGAGCCACTGCAACCAGCCTTTACTTAAACCTCTTTTTGAGACAGGGTCTCACTTTATCACCCAGGGTAGAGGACAGTGCCGTGATCTTGGCTCATTGCAGGCTTCACCTCTCAATGTTCAAGGAGTCCTTCTGCGTCAGCACCCCCAAGTAGCTTGGGTTACAGTTGCAGGCCGCCATGCTTGGCTAGTTTTTGTAGAGATAGGGCTTTGCCATGTTGCCGAGGCTGCTCTTGAACTCCTGGGCTCAAGTACTCTGCCCACCTTGGCCTCCCAAAGTGCTAGGATTACAGGGGCCAGCCACTGTACCCAGCCTTTAAACCTCTTTTTTTTTTTTTTTTTTTAAGTCTTGCTCTGTCACCCAGGCTAGAGTGCAGTGGCATGATCTCGGCTTACTGCAACCTCTGCCCCCTGGGTTCAAACGATTCTCTTGCCTCAACCTCCCGAGGAGCTTTGACTATAGGCATGGCGGCACACGCCCGGCTAATTTTTTTGTGTTTTTAGTAGAGATGGGGTTTTACCATTTTGGCCAGGCAGGTGTCAAACTCCTTTCCTCAGTGATCCGCCTGCCTTGGTTTCACAAAGTACTGGGATTACAGGCCTGAGCCACCGTGTCTGGACTAAACCTCGTTTTTTATCTTTGTTGTTACTATGTTTTCTACCAAGTTTTTCTGAATGTTACTTTCTAAACCTATTGAAAATTTTATTTCACCCATCAGTTTTAATTTCTAGGGCTCTTTTCTAAATTCTATGCCAGCGGTATAAACACACATAACAGCATTTACCATCTTAACCATTTTAAATGTGTACAGTTTTGTAGTGTTAAGTACCTTCACACGGTTATGCAGCTAAGCTCCAGAACTTACTATCTTTCAGAACTAAAACTCTATACCTATTAAACCATTCCCTCTTCCTCCCTTCTCTTATCCTTCGGCAGCCACTATTCTACTTTCTGTCTCTAAATTGACTACTCTTAGAAATTCATATAAGTAGAATCATACAGTATTTGTCTATTTGTCTGTGATTTTACTTAGCATCCTCAACGTTCATTCATGTTGAGCATGAGTCAAGATTTCATTAATTTTTTAGTGCAGCCTACAAACACTTTTTTTTTTTTTTTTTTTTCCTTTGAGACATGGTCTTGCTCTTTTCCCAGGAGGGAGTGCAGTGGCACTATCATGGTTCACTGTAGCAGCTTCAACCTCCCAGACTCATGTAATCTTCTCAAGTGGGAGGGACAACAGGTGGACACCCCCCTACCCTAGCTAAATATTTTACCTTATTTTGTAGAGACAAGATCTTGCTATGTTGCCCAAGGTTGGTCTTGAACTCCTGGACTCCCAAAGTGCTGGGATTATAGTCATGAGCCCCTGCACCCACCCCTATATTTAACTTTTTTTTTTGTCGGGGGACGGAGTCTCGCTTTGTAGCCCAGGCTGGAGTGCAGTGCTGCAATCTCGGCTCACTGCCATCTCCGCCTCCCAGGTCCCAGTTCAAGCAATTCTCTTGCCTCAGCCTCCCAAGTAGCTGGGATTACAGGCATGCACCACTATGCCCAGCTAATTTTTGTATTTTTAGTAGAGACAGGGTTTCACCATGTTTGCCAGGCTGGCCTTGAACTCCTGACCTTGCGATCCACCCGCCTCAGCCTCCGAAAGTGCTGGGATTACAGGCATGAGCCACTGCGCCTGGCCTATTTAACTTTTTAAGGATCTGCCACATTGCTTTCTAAAGCAGTGCATCATTTTACATTGCCATCCTCTATGTTTGAGTTTTAATGTCTCCATATCATCACCATTTGTTAATGTTTGTCTTTTTTTTTATTATAACCATCCTTGTGGGTATGAAGTGATTTTTCACCATCGTTTAGCTTTGCATTTTATGATGACTAATGATGTTGACTATCTTCTCTTGTGCTTATTAGCCATCTTCTTTGGAAAAAGGTCTAAGTGTAATTTTGAAAAATCTTTTTACTTTAAGGATAATGAAGAGTTGAGAGTTAGTTGCCCAGTGCCTGCAGATGAGCAGACAGAATGCACTTCTGCCCAACAACTCAATATGAGTTCCTGTTCTCCATGTGCTGCTGAGCTTACTGCATTAAGGTACAAGTTACAGTATAGAAGATCTTCAACATTAAATTACTTTTTCTGGTCGGGCGCGGTGGCTCTCGCCTGTAATCCCAGCACTTTGGGAGGCCGAGGCAGGTGGATCACCTGAGGTCAGGAGTTCAAGACCAGTCTGGCCAACATGGTGAAACCCCGTCTCTACTAAAAAAACAAAAATTAGCCGGGCGTGTTGGCGGGCGCTTGTAATCCCAGCTACTCGGGAGGCTGAGGTTGGAGAATTGCTTGAACCCAGGAGGCAGAGAGGTTGCAGTAAGCCAAGAGCATGCCACTGCACTCCAGCCTGGGTGACAGAGTGAGACTCCGTCTCAAAAAAAAAAAAACATTACTTTTTCTTCTGATTAGTTGCTAAACTGTTCCATAGCTATTCTGAGTCTAATTGCAAGCTCTTTTTTCCTTAGCACAACTCAGCAAGAAAAGGATCTAATAGAGGATTCCTCTGTTCAGAAGGATGGTCTCAACCAGGCAACTATGCCAGTTTCTCCTCCAAGTACTACAAAGCCATCGAGGGCAAGTACTGCTTCACCATGTAATAATAACATAAATGCAGCTATAGCTGTGGCTCTACAGGTAACTTGAAGATTTTAGTTTATGTTAAAAAAAAAATACAATAGATTAGATAATTTTTTTTTCACATAACACTTTGTTAGAACAGAGTCATTTGGAAGTAGCCCAAGTTGGGGCTGACTATCAGAAAGAAGCTTAAGGAGTTTTAAGGTCACTGCAAAGAGATGGAAAGTTTTAGGTGTTTTTTGTTTTGTTTTTTTTGTTTTTTGTTTTTTTCTTTTTTGAGACGGAATCTGTGCTCTGTCGCCCAGGCTGGAGTGCAGTGGCAGCATCTCGGCTCACTGCAGGCTCCGCCTCCTGGGTTCATGCCATTCTCCTGCCTCAGCCTTCCAAGTAGCTGGGACTACAGGCACCCACCACCATGCCTGGCTAATTTTTTGTGTTTTTAGTAGAGACGGGGTTTCACATTGTTAGTCAGAATGGTCTCAATCTCCTGACCTCGTGATCTGCCTGTCTCAGCCTCCCAAAGTGCTGAGATTACAGGCATGAGCCACTGCGCCTGGCCCATTCTGTTTCTTTTGATTGCTTTTTTTCTGTTGATATGGTTAAGTGAATCTTCTTCCTTACCCACATTAGGATGAATTTATCATTTGGGGGCTAACATAAAGCGGCCTTGTGCCTCTTGATGTTCTTTTGGTTGTATATGTGATACTTAACAGTCTATAAGTGGCCATTGAGAGGCCACTCCCACTTATTGAAGTTCCAGGATTGTTTTATAGTTAAATAATTGGGAAAATACAGAAAAGCAGAATAAAACAAAATTTATCTATAATCCCTAGCATTTTAGTACAGCACTTTTAAAAATAGATTTACAAGACTATCTTATTTAATGATAGCAATAATACTAAAATGATAGCTACCATTTGAATGCTTACTGTATATTATTAGGACTAGTGCTGAAGACTTTACATACTTTGTTCTGTTCTCAAAATACCTCTATTCCACCTTTTTCAGTTGAGGTAATTAAGACATTTAATGAATCTTTTTATACCATTGGTTTCTAATTGCTCTGCTGGGATTCTTTTGGAATCTTTCTTGGGGTTCTTTGTAGCAAGGAAAAGGAACAGAAAGAACCATTTTATTTCATCATATGGCTATACCATATTAATCTAATCTGTCCTTTCTTGTTAGGCATTTAGGTCATTTCCATCATTATAAACAATGCTGACGTGAACATCCCTCAGTTAAATTCCTCAAGCAAAATTATTGTATAATAAATAAAGATTGTACCAGTGTACTCTAGGCAGTATATATGAGAGTGCTTGTTACCCTTTTCTGGAAGATAATTTGTGGTTTTCTTGTGGTTAACACAATCATTTTTGTACTTTATAATTTAGAGAATGTGTACCATAAATGTTCTTTTTTTATCATCACTTCAAAGGAGCCCCGAAAGTTAAGCTATGCTGAAGTGTGCCAGAAGCCCCCTAAAGAGCCATCTTCAGTTCTTGTGCAGCCACTACGGGAACTTCGCTCTAATGTGGTGTCTCCCACCAAAAATGAAGACAGTGGAGCTCCTGAGAACTCCGTTGAGAAACCACATGAGAAGTCAGAAGCAAGGGCTAGTAAGGATTATTCTGGCTTCCGAGGCAATACAATCCCCAGGGGAGCAGCTGGAAAAATCAGGGAACAGAGACGCCAGTTTAGCCATAGGGCTATACCTCAGGGAGTGACTCGACGTAATGGCAAAGAGCAATATGTGCCACCCAGATCACCAAAGTAAAAAACAACAAAACTATTCAAAAACTTCTCTCTCTTCCCATTAAACTTGAGCTGTGGCTATATTGAACTGTTTTGGAGGGGAGGGGGTAGCCAGGAAGGAAACAGGAGAAAGTACATCCTTAAATCATTATGGATTTTGGAGTTGTGAGTGATAGGATCCCAAAATTCATCTCTAATGTGATTTTTAAATGCTGGAGGATTCCAATCAATATAAATATATATATATATATATACACACATATATAAAATATAATTTTTCTATTTTTGTTTTTGGTTTTAATTTGCAGAGATTTGCTGCCAGGAATCAATTTTGAGGGTTCAGATTTAGCTTGGAGGAAAAAAAAATTATACATCCTTCAGTATAGGAGATGAGGGAATGAGAGAAAATATTTTTTGAAGAAGCATTTCTGTAAAATTAGAAATTACTTTTTTTAATCTATTTAAAGTTTGGCTTGAAGAATGCCATTTCTAACTATATGGCCTTGTATTGCAAAGCAGATCAGTGGCTGGGGTGCCTGTTGTGGGTGTGAGTGTGTACAAGAGCGATTGAAGCCAAATCTGTTGTCATGTTAGTAAATGATTTGAAAACTGAATGTAATACTTGAGTAGGTTTTTTTTTTTTTTCTAGTTTGAAATTTAGTCTCTGTCTTTTTGACCTTACTAATACTTCATTCAACAAGTTGTAAAATGATTGTACCTGGAGATGTGACTACCAATCAGTTTAATACTCAAGGAAAGGGGGTTATTAAAAAAATTGAAAATTTCATCTTGGACCTCAGTGCATAGGCCAAATGGATTTCAGAGGTTTAAACTTCCCTGTGATTCCCCCCCAACACCCCCAAAATGAGAAACAAACATTTTTTTCTTACTCCATATGTTACTCTCTGTTCTTTGACTGCCCACTCACAAAAGCAGAATAACCAACTACCTACTGAAGTGTATGTTTGTAATTGCTTTGACCAGTCTAGTCAAATCATATAAATTGTTCTAAATTTCAGAATTGAACGTTGAAGTATTTACTCTTCTGTTCACACATTTAGAATTTTAGCTTCCAAGATGGTAGGGCAGACTGACCCTACAGTAATTTATTTGTTGTTAATGTTAAAGATGAAACATAGTAACTGACTCTTGTGTTAAATAATGTAGACGTAAAATATTTTTTTAAAAAAGGCTTAATTTAGAGGGGTACTTATTTCTGTTTACAGTGTATTTGTCACCTTCCTTTCCTCCTCTTCTCCCCCCACACCCAAAAAGTACAGTATGGAATTCACTGAAACAATACCAACAAGTCATGAGATTTTTTAGTAAAGATGAGAAAGATGGTTGAAGAAAATTAATGCGTAATTTCTCAGTGAATAAAGTTGTAGCTGTCATATACTAAATAGACAAGTTTACATGGTGTTATTTAGAAAATGGCTAAAATATTAAAAACTGTGTTGTGTTAATCTGTTTTAAGTCATACCATGTTCAGAGTTCTATGTAAGGTGGGTTTTATTTTTCTTTTAAGGATAGTTTGTAATAGTAAGAACTGTCCCATATGTTAGTAAATTACATATGTACAAATTGAAACTGTAAATTGTGAACACTGGAAAGCACCATTGTGACATAGAGTAAACATCTTAGTAATATATTAAAGTGAATGTAAATGGTGGTTAAAATTACATTACTGTGAAATTCATCTTCCAACTCTAAGTTAAGCTTTGGAGATATATATTAGTGGTTAACTGTTAAGAGCTTTGAAAACACTGCACATATCTGTACAAGCCAGAATTATTATTTCTTTGACTTATTATTAGCTTGGCAGTTGCTTTTGATTTGGTTGTTTTATGACATGGTATACTGTATTTACTCAGTTTGAAACTATTCATTTCTACACACTATTTTTAAAAATTGCCTACTAGGTGAAACATAACAATAAAACTACCTGTGCTGAAATTTGGGGGAAGTTTAGGTCCTTTAAAAAAATATATTAATCATTGACTACATCTATGATAAAAGTGCTTATTTTGGTTTACTAAGATAATGCAGTTGGTGGAAATAATAAACATTTTAAGTGTTAACATCCTTTAACTGCATTGGATTTCAGAGAATAAACATTTTGTAAAAATCACTTGGCAAGGATTATAAACTTAATTACTGCACTTAAAATGAAACATTACTTTTTTTAAACAATGTGTCACAAATGTAGGCCTGTATTACTTGTATGCTTGTGTGACTTACTGTTAGTCCACCAACTTCTAAAAATTTAAAGGCTGTAATTGAAATACAAGAAAAGAGCCTTCTTTTAGAAGAAAGCAGGTGTATTTTTGCTTTTCCTTAACGTTATTGAAAGTAGAAATTTAATTTGAAGATATGACCTTTAAAAATTTCTTAAGACAATGTTTTTAATTTAATTTGCCTCATTACATCTAGTAGTTCCCATTTGATGGGATGTATAGGGAAGAGTGAGAGAGAGTGAGTGTGTATGTGTGTGTAATATTTATATATATTCACAGTATGTATTTAGCATTTATTTTATTACAGCAGATTTAAAATTTGTATCTAAATAATGCCTGTGAGTTGTGTGAAGCTGTTGGCTTTTTTCCAACATTACTTTGTAACTAATGAGGGTGGATGTTCATTGTAGTTTATTTATTTGGTTCTTTAGATGGAGGAATTTAAATAATCAAATTTTTCTCTTCACCCTTATGACTTGACATTTCCTTGGTCTGTTGGAGGCTAAAAGTAGGTATAAATGATACTGAATGTTTGGTATAGTGATACTCTGCTGTAGTTCTTACTGCATGAAGAGAACAAGAGTCACAAAAGTTCACCACCTTGCACTTCATAAAGAAGGTACATAGAGACATTGCAAAACCTGTCTCCATTTGCTGTCCTGATAATTGAGGTTTTCATAATACCTGGGGCCTGTCTCTGAGTAATTTTAATTTTGCCAAATACACTGATATTTTAAAAAGTGATCCATCTAAATTTTTTTCAACTGGATTTTGAGGAAGGTAAGAGCTTTCGATAATAAGGGTTTGTTGTGGTAGTTGTCTTATGTGCTGAATTTGCAGATGATCAGATGCTATGCAGAATTATGATTTATTTTTGTTTCCTAAAATTAAGATAGCTTGAATATTATTTCACATTCCTTTTTCTTTTTTAAATAAACAGGTTTGCTTTGGAAAGGCTTAATGATGGAATGTTAGCATCTTCACTATGGTAAAGGAGAACAAAAAGAATGTTGCTGGAACATAAAATAGTATTTAAAAGTTAATGAACACTTCTAGTTTTGTTAGTTATGGCCTTAATAATTAGTCTCTTGGCTTAAATGTCCACTGGTTTTACTTTGACACAGTTGAACAACACTGGGGTTAAGTCTCTGGTATTTAGGCTGGCAATATATTAACCATATTTTTAAAGTACCAATTTTTTTTTTTTTTTTTTTTTACGGAAAAGATAAAACTCAAAAGAGAACAGTGTATTCCTTTTGAGGGACTTTTATAAATTATTAACTATAATATATGATGGATTTTTTCCTAATTTTTTATATTTCCTTACAATTTTGGTGGCCATTAATTTAACTTTAGGCTTTTGGTCATATGCTAGTCTGAGCTTCCAAAAAGATACATACATGTTTCACTTTTCATTAGCTGAATGAGGGTATTTTAAGAAGTTGAAAGAGAATTTATTTTCAAGTTGTGAGTAAATTCTCTTTTGAAATTCACCTGATTATTAAATAACTTAAAGTTTATTTTTAAAAGCTGACAACTTTTTATGAATCTTTGAGCTAACAGTTCCTAAAAGCGTAATTCAGATATTAATGGGCTGTGTATTAAATGGTTTTATTTTCAGTTTTGCAGCATAGAACACTGTTGAAATATCCACATCAACTTGATTTTTTTTAACCTAATTCGGGTGTCTTTGACATCTCTTAAATGTTGGGGGTGGGGGTCAGAGCCAGTTATCCGGCTTCTGTTTTGTCAATTGCTTAGATTTGTTCCTGTTGTCAAAACTGTTGCCCCCAAAATTGGTGTGACACATGCTCATGCATAAAATGTTAAAATGTATTTGTATTTGTTTTCAACATCGCCAAGGTGCTATGGGAAATTAAAGTAACAAAATTAGAAAAAAAATAAAGTTATTAAAAAGCAGGACTGGTTTCCTTTTCTCTAGGTGGTGTATGTCTAATGACTACTTCTGTCTGCCTTTCAATATTATATGTTGCCCTCGCTAATGCTATTATTACTGTCTAAGCTGTTTTTTGGATGATGAGGGCAGTGGGAAGTAATGATGTTTCACGTAAAACAAGGGCAGAGAGACAAGATACAGCTTTATGATCCTGGAGTTTTCTTTTAGTATCAGAAGCAGTGATTAAAGGGGGAAAAAACTCTGGGCACGGTGGCTCTCGCCTGAAATCCTAGCACTTTGGGAGGTCAAGGTGGGCGGATCACCTGGGGCCAGGAGTTCAAGACCAGACTGGCCAACATGGTGAAACCCCGTCTTTATTAAACATACAAAAATTAGCTGGAGGTGGTGATGGGCACCTGTAATCCCAGCTACTCGGGAAGCTTAGGCAGGAGAATCGCTTGAACCTGGAAGGTGGACATTGCAGTGAGCCAAGATCACGCCATTGTACTCTATCCTGGGTGATTAATGAAAGTCCATCTCAAAGGGGAAAAAAGACTGGGTGCAGTGGCCATGTAATCCCAGGGCATTTCGGGGGCCGAGGTGCATGGATCGCCAGAGACTGAGTTCAAGACCAGCCTGGGCAATATAACAACCTAGAGGGTGAGGCAGGAGGATTGCCCGAGCCCAGGAGTTCAAGGCTGCAGTGAGCTGATTGTGTCAGTGCACTGAACCCTGGGAAAAAGAGTAAGACTCCATCTCCAAAAATATATATATATATAGTGGTTGGGGGACAGGAATCATGGTAGTGTGTAGCTTAAAAACCACCTTCATGGAACAGGTTGTGGCTTGATTTGAGTATGTGCATGTCAAGCCCAGCTAGAGGGTATTTGGGGCTTTTCAGAGGGAAAATTGACCAGGAAATTTAAATGAGGGGGTTTTTTTTGTTTGTTTCGTTTGAGACCGAGTCTTGCTCTTGTTGCCCAGGCTGGAGTGCAACCTCAGCTTCGTGGCCCGAGTTTTGATTTTTTAAAAATGCTTCATTTTAAAGCAAAATGGAAAAGCTGAGTCAATCTCTGGCTTTTTAACAGGTATCTGTAAATTATTGTGACACCTTTTACTGAATATATATTGCTAAAAAATAGTGGAGTGGCCAGGCGCAGTGGCTGACGCCTGTAATCCTAGCACCTTGGGAAGCCGAGACGGGTGGATCAACTGAGGTCAGGAGTTCGAGACTAGCCTGACCAACATGGTGAAATCCCGTCTCTACTAAAAAGACAAAAATGAGCCCAGCATGGTGGCTCATGTCTGTAATCCCAGCTACTCTGGAGTCTCAGGCACGAGAATCGCCAGGAGGTGGAGGTTGCAGTAAGCAGAGATCGTGCCACTGCACTCCAGCCTGGGCGACAGAGTGACTGTCTCAAAAAAACAAAAACAAAACATGGAGGGGTGTTTCATGGCTATTATGCCACAGTTTATTCTTGAATTAAGTGAATCTTTTTTTAATGGTAGAACTTCTTTGTGGGTTTTTTTTTTTTTTTTAGATAGAGTCACTCTCGCCCAGTCTGGAGTACAGAGGTGGGATCCCAGCTTGCTGCAACCTCCGCCTCCCAGGTGCAAGCGATTCCCTTGCCTCAGCCTCCCAAGTAGCTGGGATTACAGGCACATGCCACCATGCCCGGCTAATTTTTGTCTTTTTAGTAGAGATGGGGTTTCGCCATGTTGTCCAGGCTGGTCTCAACTCCTGCCCTCAAGTGATTCGCCTGCCTCGGCCTCCCAAAGTGCTGGGATTACTGGCGTGAGCCACTATGCCTAAGTCTATGAATGTGGCCCAATTTCAAATTATATTCTCAGAAATATTTACTATTCTGCCAAGTTATGTAATTTGGATATATATGTAGATATACCTTAAGGCAACAGATTTAATATGAGCATTCAGTTTAATAATTGCTTAGCTCTTTGGCATTGCCTTTAGCTAAACCTTTAATTTGCAAATGAGCAATTATTTATCTTAACAAAGATAGCTAATGTCAGTGAGCAAAGTGGTGCTGGTAATGACAGGTTTACGGGGATAAGTGTTAACGAAGCCTTAGGCGGCTGATGTCAGTGTTTTAATGTGTTTATTTGGCCAAGATATGAGGGGTGCATAACTTAAATTTTATATAAAGAGCACAGTATTCTTTATAGTGGACCCAAAACTGAATTGGTAAACTCAGGTAGGCTCTCGTGTTGTATTTAAAATGAGTGATTTTGCAAAGTTTCATTACAGATAACTGTATATTTAACTACACTTCTTGTTAGAAAATATTAATCTAAATATTATGCCTTCAAGTTTTAATTATATACCTGGAAGTTTTTTTATTTCCTTTTTTTGTTGTTGTTGCTCATTCACCATCTGCTCTGATATACCTGGAATTTTTTAAATGAAAAGTTCTTAACAGTTACTATTAAAGAATTATGCATTTTCTTAAAACCATAGTGTTTTTAGTTTGTACGAGAATTTTAAGGAATTGGAATGTTTTCACTTTTTTAATATTGTTCCCAAATAAACACCCCCAGTTTCTTGACTTTTTATTTAAAAGAAGGTCTCACTCTGTCACCCAGGCTAGAGTGCAGTGGCACAGTTGTGGCTCACTGTTCCCTCGAACTCCTGGGTTCAAGCAGTCCTCCCACCTCAGCCTCCCCGGTAGCTGGGGCACGTGCCACCATGCCCGGCTAGTTTTAAATTTTTTTTATTTAATTTTTTACTTATTTTGAGACAGTCTTGCTCTGTTGCACAGGCTGCAGTACAGTGACACAGTCATGGCTCACTGCAGCCTCGAACTCCTGGATTCAAGTAATTCTCCCACCTCAGCCTCCCAAGTAGCTGGGACTACAGGTGTGCGTCACATCAGCTGATATTTATTTACTTATTTTTGTTGTTTGTTTGTAGAAATTGTCTCACTCTGTTGCCCAGGCTGGTCTCAAACTCCTGGGCTCAAGCGATCCTACTGCTTTGGCTTCCCAAAGTGCTGGTATTACAGGTTGAGCCACTGCACCTGGCCCTAGTTTATCTTTTAAAATGCATTTTTTAGGCAGCCGTTCTGCAGGTCTTTAAGTTCTAATTCGCTATTTTGCATTCTAAATTATGCCTAAAATAACTATCATCCTGTCAAAACTGAGGATATTGACAGCATTGGAGTTAACCATGATGGAGTGTTCATTTAATTAGTATTTATTGTATGCTATGTTCCAGACAGTGCTAGGCAGCAAAAATAGATAGGATTCCTGCCCTTATGGTGCTTAGCATGAAAAAGTCAGTCATAAATAATTGCCAAGTTTAGAACAATAGTAAATATGACAGATGCAGTCTGACAGTCTATGAGATTGAAGTAGAGGACGGTGCAAGAAGGAATGCTTGGAGAAACTGAGAGGACATACACCTGAAAGAGTAGGAGTCAATTATATGAGCAGGTAGAGGGTGCCCTTAGATGTGAGGGAACAACCTATATCACTTTATGGAAGAATTATAAGCCCCGCAGCCATAGCATGGGGAATCTTGTTCCATCTTCTAAGATAAGGCTGGAGAAGTAGGTAAGAGCCAAACTACTGGGATCTGCAGTGTGTATTTTGGTATTGATACAGGGTGTCACTCTGTCACCCCGGTTGGAATGCAGTGGTGCCACCACGGCTCACTGGAGCCTCTACCTCCTGGACTCAGGCAATCCTCCTGTCTCAGCCTCCTGAGTAGCTGGGACCACAAGTGCACACTGTCACCAGCCCTGGGTTTTTTGTTTTGTTCTGGTTTTGTGGAGATACGCTCTTGTTTTGTTGTTAGGGCTCGAGCGATCCACCCGCCTCAGCCTCCCAAAGTGCTGGAATTAGAGGCATACACCACCCTGCCCATCCTTCAAAACCAATCCTTTAAAACCCAGTCGTTAATCTGTAGTATAGGGTGGTTTTAATTAAATAAAAATTTCAGCCAGTTTTAGATGTGACTGTTAGGGACAGGGCTAAACGTTATATCCACCACTTTTTTTCTATCTTGATTCTTGTGTCCTTAACCCTATTCATCATTCTCTTTCCCACCTGGACAGTCTCCCAAGTCACCACTATTGTGCTAAGCATATGATATCATTCAAGACTTAATGTTTCCAGTCCTCACCAATAAGGTCTCCCACCTACTGTAGATGAATAAAAGCATTATGTTTGTCATGACTGTTTATTACCTCTTAAAATTTTTTTTCTTCATTATCAATTTGCCATTTTTCCATGGATCCAAAAAAGACTGATAATTCATGCCTGCTTAAGCAAACCAGTTGTGTCCAGAAGTAATAAACCCATTCCATAAATATGTCTTGAAAGTTGTGGAATTTGCATGTCCATCAAGCCTTTTCCTATCCCTGGCCGGTCAAGGTGTCTCACACCTGTAATCCCAACACTTTGGGAATCCAAGGTGGGTGGATCACTTAAGACCAGGAGTTCAAGACCAGCCTGGCCAATACGATGAAACCCTGTCTCTAAAAAATTTGCTGGGCATGGTGGCATGTGTCTCAATCCCAGCTAGTCGATACATTACTCTTGATACACTGAGGCATGAGAATCACTTGAACCCGGGAGACAGGTTGCAGTGAGCCGAGATCATGTCACTGCACTCCAGCCTGGGTGACAGAGTAAGACTCTGTCTCAAAGGCCTTTTTGCCCACCTTGAAGGAAATTATAGGTGTACCATAGCCAGCTCTGCAACTGGTCCTGGTGTATTCAGGCAGGTAATTTTTGTTTGTTTTTGTTTTGTTGTTGAGACGGAGTTTCACTCTTGTCACCCAGGCTGGAGTGCAATGGTGCGATCTTGGCTCACTGCAATCTCTGCCTCCTGGGTTCAAGCGATTCTCCTGCCTCAGCCTCCTGAGTAGTTGGGATTACAGGCACATGCCACCACGCCTGGCTAATTTTTTGTCTTTTTAGTAGAGACAGGGTTTTGCCGGGTTGCTCAGGCTGGTCTTGAACTCCTGACCTCAGGTGATCCGCCTGCCTCCGCCTCCCAAAG